AAAAAAAAAAAAAAAGATTAAAAAAAAAAAAAAGTAAGTTCAAGGGCGCCTGGGTGGCTCAGTGGGTTAAAGACTCTGCCTTCAGCTCAGGTCATGATCCCAGGGTCCTGGGATCAAGCCCCGCATCGGACTCTCTGCTGGGCGGGGAGCCTGCTTCCTCCTCTCTCTCTGCCTGCCTCTCTGCCTACTTGTGATCTCTGTCTGTCAAACAAATAAATTTAAAAAATCTTAAAAAAAAAAAAAAAAAGTAAATTCAATTAAAAAAACACCTGGGTTATTTGAAATAACTTTGTTTTTAATTTTAGTATGCTAAGAAAATAAAAAGATCAACAAACAAGTTTAACCACACCAAAAAGCAAAGAAATTCCAATTAAAACAAGACAGCATTTTTTCTCATCCAATTGGGAAAATAATAACAATACACACTGTTGGCAACAGTACAAGGACACATACACTTTTATAAAACACTGAGTAACTATAAAAGTGGAACCCTTCTGCAGAACAACTGGGCAATAAGTACCCAAAGCCTTAAAACACATTCCCTATTTGGGGCGCCTGGGTGGCTCAGCGTGTTAAACCTCTGCCTTCAGCTCAGGTCGTGATCTCGGGGTCCTGGGATCGAGCCCCGCGTTGGGCTCTGCTCAGCGGGAAGCCTGCTTCCCCCTCTCTCTCTGCCTGCCTCTCTGCCTACTTGTGATCTCTCGCTCTTTCAAATAAATAAATAAATCTTAAAAAAAAAAAATTCCCTATTTCTGGGACTTACTATTTCCTCTCCTAGTAACTTACCCTATGGAAGAAGTAAAAAGATCTGTACAAAGATGTTTGCAGAAGAGCTATTCAAAATATCAAAAGTGAGAAATTTAGATAAGAGATTTAATAGTCTGTTTCTCTAAACAAACAAAAGAAGTGTTGGTCACGATCCACTAAATTGGTGGGTAAAGTATTATGCCTCCAGTTTGAAAAGCACTGCTCTACATTATGCTCTCTAGTCAAAGGTTTCTTGATGGTGAAAGTGAGTCTTACTTGATTTATATTGGGAGAGAAAAGTTATTCCAGGTAATAGAGATGAAAGGCCTAACAGCATGGAAATAGAAAAAAACAAAGGAAAAGATGACCTTAGGTGTTTGGGCGGGGGACACTATTAGATTCTTCTGGCTGAAATGGAACACTCATTTTATTGGGATGTGAGGTTCTGAGAGCACGGCAGAAAGTCTATTGCCAAACCATAATAAATTCTGAAAGTTAAAAGATACTCTGTACAGGGGCGCCTGGGTGGCTCAGGGGGTTAAAGCCTCTGCCTTTGGCTCAGGTCATGATCCCGGGGTCCTGGGATTGAGCCCCGCATCAGGCTCTCTGCTCAGCAGGGAGTACCTGCTTCCCTTCCTCTCTCTCTGCCTGCCTCTCTGCCTGCTTGTGATCTCTCTCTGTCAAATAAATAAATAAAATCTTTAAAAAAAAAAAAAATCTCAAAATGAATGATTCCTGTGTTTTCACCTAGTTTGAACCCTTCCCTCCCCTTTATTCTCTCACATTACACCCTTTAAGGGTCTGTTTGCATCTAATTCTCCAATTGTTTTCTAAAACACCTCCTTTTGTCTTAGGTGTTTTCTTAAGTACCTAAATTTCATCAAAACAAGGCTACCACTGTGTGGTTCCTCCAGAGTCTCTGAACCCCCTCCTTTCCATTGCTCTACTTCCTCATTCCCTTCTTTTTTTTAATTTAATTTAATTTTTTTTTTAAGATTTTATTTATTTGACAGACAGAGATCACAAGTAGGCAGAGAGGCAGGCAGAGAGGGGAAAGGAAGCAGGCTCCCCGCTGAGCAGAGAGCCTGATGCGGGGCTCTATCCCAGGACCCTAGGATCATGACCTGAGCCGAAGGCTTAGGGTTTAACCCACTGAGCCACGCAGGCACCCCTCCTCATTCCCCTCTGTCCTATGTTCTCTCCATATCCTCTCTTCTGGAGAGCCAACACCCACTCTCACTTTCAAATGTATCTTCCGCACAAGTAATTCTGTGCCCAAATTCTAGTCTGGCATCTGTTTCTTCCTTCTGCAGCATAATCTAATCTGTTACACGGTGACACATAAAAGTCTTAAACGAATCTAAACTCTCATATCACTCAAATGCAAAACTGAAATGTCAATATAAATGTTTTATATAGCTATGAAGTATTTTTCTTCAGCCTTAAGCACGTGATGAACAATGGCTCCAGTTACAAAAATTCATTTTTTTTAAGACCACAAAGGAAGAATATAAAGGCTGCCATATTTTTCAGAATTACTTACTCTTGGATAAGGAAGGCCACTGGTAGTATTGAAAGCTGGTAAAAGTTTGTAACCCAATTGCTTGGCCATTTGGAGAAGTTCATCATTGTACCACTGCATGTGCTCCCCTTTTTCTTTCAGCATGATTGCCAGTGAGTGTCCACCCAAAAGACCCCTACAAGCACAGAGATGAACCATTATCCACTTCTTACAGATACTTAAAAGTCGCCACCTAAAAAGATGTGGGTATCTTGTTATCGACAATTTAGCACACATAAGGAAAGACCTCAGAACATCATCTTTTTTACACCTAACTCTGGCCACTCATTTTATGACAAAACACAGACAATACAAAAAAGTTTTAAATGTTCTATCTGCTGTGAAGTATTTGGCATTCTCAAATACCTTAAAATTTCTTAAAATAAAGAAGACCCTTAAAAACAAAAGACTTGACAACTTTTGATTCTACCAACTTTAAAATTTAACTTAATGATATATCATGTAACCTTTAACTCTTATAGTATAGCATTAAAAAACCCTCCCCAATTCTGTATTAAATATAATAGATTAACAAACTCTGTGAAAAGCTACATAAATACTTCCTAAACTGAAAAAGACTAACAAACTCTGTAAAAAGCTACATAAATATTTCCTAAATGGAGAGACTCACTTTACCTGTCAAAAGGAAATGTGTTACAACATAAAACTAACCATTAAATATAAAAATTTAATAATGCTGAAACTTGAATTAATAAATCCTGTAATTCAATACTTTTAAATGTTCTAAAAACATTTCAAACTGTTGAGTTGAGTGGTAGTATTATACATTTAATTTCATTTGGCCTGAAGGGGTGCTGGCTAAGATTAGCAAACTACGATACTAGTGAAAAACCTGAGCTATAGCTGATATGCAAATGTTCAACCTCTAATCCTTTTTTAACATGGGGGGAGGGGAAGAGTCTGCAACTATTTCCAAAGTTTGCAGCTGTCTGTGCCTAATATAATGCAGTCATCCCAGAGCCTGTTTCATAATATCCCAACTTCTATCTTTTAAACATTAGAAATATCTTGCTTTATTACCATCAAGAAATATACAGTAGACCTTGGCTTTTCTGTTATTAAAATTATAGCTTTAGTGTCTTACATACTTACCCAAGAACTCTGATGTTTGTTTCAAAGACTGATACAACTACATCATTATCTAAATTAACATCTCTTAAAACTTTTCTCACCGCATCTTCAAATTCTTTAGTTTTATTTAATACCTAGGAGAAGAAAATTATGAAAATAAAGTTCTATCAAGTCAAAGAGAAATAGCATTAGAATGAAATGCTAAAAGTTAATACAGTAAGACTCTAAAAAGTGACACATACAAAATGTTTCCCTTAAGTCAATGATAAAAACGTGGTATCTAAAACCCACCAAAATTAAATGCCTACATTATAAGAAATCTTTATATATTTCTCTTTTAGATACACAGAAATCATTAAGACTTTAAAACAAACATCATCAGAACTGTTAACTGGTTTCTTAATATATTACCCATGACCTAGAGCTACATGAGATGAGCTCTACCAGGATTTGGTTTCCAAGCCAAAATAACACAAAAACCATCCTATTCACCAATCATCATTTTTTTTTTTAAAGATTTTATTTATTTATTTGACAGACAGAGATCACAAGTAGGCAGAGAGGCAGGCAGAGAGAGAGAGAAGGGGAAGCAGGCTCCCTGATGCCCAGAGAGCCCGACGTGGGGCTCGATCCCAGGACTCTGGGATCATGACCTGAGTTGAAGGCAGAGGCTTTAACCCACTGAGCCACCCAGGCGCCCCACCAATCATCATTTTAAAGGTTGCTTGTTTTCAAAAGAGAGCACACCCTTCAGAGAATGACTGACTAATCCTAAACCACATACCACCCGCATTCCTCACGCGTGGATACCCTGACCCCTAACTAAAAAGGAGTTTAATGTTGTAATCAAGAGCAAGCCCTGTTTTGAACTCACTACCTGAGTTCTTTCACTCACTACCTGAGTAATCTTGGTCAAGTGACTTCCATCTCTGAGCCTCTTCCTTCAACCATAAGAAGAAATATCAAAAAAATTTTAAAAAATTAAAAAAAAAGAAATATCTACTCCTACAGGATTGCCCTCTTAAATGAGGTAATATATGTAAAGTATTTTCAGTCGAGTGCCTGACTTAGTAAGTGCTTAACATCATTACTATTATCATTATCACCATGAGGGTCTAGAATCCTAACTAGGTTAACAATCCTATGGAATCTTGTGATCAGTTCCGTGAAGGGGCCAATGCATTACATAGTTGCTTTGATTTTTCAGTCAAAATCGAGGTTGTGTCAGAGAGCTCTCTTGCTCAACTATTAAGCCCAACAGCTAAAACCAGAAATAAACAAGACCACTTAACTCATGCTCTAGCTACAACCCATTGTGCTTATTGCTCATCACACTTTCCTGAGTCACTGACAAGACATTTTGCAGTGACCAGAACATTCCAACCGCCAGACCAGAAAAGTCCTGATATCAATGGAATGCCTAGAAGACCACAGCCTACACATCCCTTCCCTGCCCCTGATCACGGGATGAACACCTACCAATCTCCGCCCGCAATCACACGCGCCCTGTCTGCTCTCTTGCATGTACCCCCACCCTCAATCTCGCCTTCTAAAACTCTAGGTATCCACCTTGTCTGTGGAGAGGTCTGTATTAAGGCCTGTGCCTGCTGCCTCCCCAGCTGCCAGGCCCCAAAAGAAATCTCTCCCTTCTCTTTTCCAAACCTTCTTCTCTTGAGTTATTGGCTTCTCTTGCCACAAGTTTATCTGAGTCTCTTCAACAACAGTGTTGGCACAACCAGCCAGGAACTCTGCTTCTCATTTGTCCAGCTCTCTTGGCATTCCCAGGGAGAGAGCAGCTGGCTGAGGCAGTGTGCCGGGCCTTACCTGCTCATTTCCTGGGTTAGTGGCTGTGATAGGTTGTTCGATAACAACTACACAATTACCCGGTATTTAGACCCCCGATCCATTAAAAGTAGTTCTCCTTTTCTTGCTTGTTTAATCTTTCTATTTGATAATATTTCAGAGTGCCTTTCACTTTATTTCCTTCATTAAAAATTCTAATTTAGGTATAAAACATTCCATAAGAATATTTGACTAAGGGGCACCTGGGTGGCTCAGTGGGTTAAAGCCTCTGCCTTCGGCTCAGGTCATGATCCCAGGGTCCTGGGTTTGAGCCCCACATCGGGCTCTCTGCTCAGCGGGGAGCCTGCTTCCCCTTCTCTCTCTGCCTGCCTCTCTGCCTACTTGTGATCTCTGTCTGTCAAATAAATAAATAAAATCTTTTAATAAAAAAAAAAGAATATTTGATAAAAATTCAAATGAAAGTAAAAGTCAGGATAAGTTCTGTGTAAAATATACTATCAAGCCTGCCTTTAAACCACTTGGGACACCTGGGTGGCTGTATCAGTTAAGCGTCTGCTTTTGGCTCAGGTCATGATCCCAGGGTCCTGGGATCCAGTCCCACACTGGGCTCTTTGCTCAGTGGGGAGCCTGCTTCTCCCTCTGCCTGCCACTCCCCCTGCTTGTGCAAGCTCTCTGACAAATAAATAAAATTGTAAAAAAAATTAAAAATAATAAAAAAAACCCTCCTCCTTATCAACTTCTAAATCCACATAAATTCTGTAGCAACAAGTGCAGATGCAAATAGCCCTGAATCACTTTTAGAATGAAACACAACTGTGCTACTCCCCACTCATCCACACATACACTTTTTAGTATCATTTTGTTAATCTTACTCTTCTTCCTAGGTCTATCTCCTGAGAATTATTCCCAAGAATTATACCAATGTTATTTGTTTCAAAGGAGATTAAAAGTGGAAAGAATTCTCTTTGTCCATAATTAGTTAGAAAATTCATTCCAACTGCTCTATTACTTAAAGAACTCTTTAAGCTCTTAGCTGATAACAAAGAGGAATTCAGGTCTCTTCTTTCCTCATCATCTTTAATTTGTATTGGTATCTATCTTTCTACAGATTACATGGTAACGTAGACTATAAAGATCACACATGATACGTTCTATTAATATTTTCAAATAAGTCAAATAAAATAATCACAATGTAAAGGTAAGGTAAATCAGAAATATTATTAAGTGTATTACTAAAATGTACCAAAACAATTCCTTTTAAATGTAGGAAAAAATTTTCTCAACTAATTTTCTGTTTAAACTAGATAGAAAATTCAATTTAAAAAAATATTTCAAATAGTAATAAAAATTCAAAATGAATTCTTATCTTTCAAAGTTATGATGGTATGTAGTAAGTTACTTAGGTTATTCCTACTTGAAGAGACTAAAATTTAAAGAGTTTATAAAGTATTTTTTTCAGTGTTCCAAGATTCATTGTTTATGTACCACACCCAGTGCTCCATGCAATAAGTGCCCTCCTCAATACCCAGCAGCAGGCTCACCCATCTCCCCACACCCCTCTCCTCCCAAACCCTCAGTTTGTTTCTCATAGTCCACAGTCTCTCGTGCTTCTTTTCCCCCTCCCATTTACCCCAATTCACTTTTAAGTATCATTTTTTAAATGTAAGATTTTTATCTATCTTTCTTAACTCCTCCTGAGGGTAATTCAACAAATAGAGGAGTTATTTATCTGAATCTGAACCAAAGATAAGTAAGAAATAACATGTTATAGTTAATAGGAAACTTAGATACCTAATTTAGGCCCTTCTAAGGTGAAAACAGGAGCCCAGAGAAGTTAAATGATTTGACCGAGGTTGCACACATCGGTATTATGTGATCACTTCTTATTGAACTCAAGTTTATACCACACAGTACTGAGAGTATGGCCTGCTAACCAGCACGAACAGCACCACCAAGTGGCAGCTTATTAGAAACACAGATTCTTGGACCCTACCTTCAGTCTATTGAATCAGAATCTGCATTTTAGCAAGACCCCTAGGTGACTTGTAATACATTGAAGTTTAAAAAGTAGTGCATCATTATACAGTATTTCTCAAACTTTAGCATATATCAGAATCATCTGGAAGCTTGTTAAAAAACAGACTGCTGGGCCTCACTTCCAGACTGTCTGATACAGTATGTCTGGGATGAGGTGCTAGAATTTTCCATTTCTAACAAGTTGTCAGGTGCTGCTGCTGCTGCCGATCCTGGGATATTTTGCAAATTAAAGCCAAAGTATACAACTGGTATAACATGAAAGACAGAACCTTTGTAATAATGAATGGCTCCTCAATTAGAAGCCAACAGATTTCTAAATTTAGGAAAGTTATGCAGCCTGATACTACCTTTTCTCCTTCATTTCTGTTAAGATTTTTTAAAGCACATGATATCTGAGATCCATGTTCAAGAAAATCCACTGACAGAGAAATGATGGGGAATTTGCTATATGGAAAGATAAAGCCAAGCTGACAGAACAAGAGACAAAGTTAAGTTCAGCTGTGATCCTTCCTAACACACAGCTACTGCTCCTCACTTACTTCGCCCACATCAAGGTAGACCTGAGAAGTATGACCTAGTTACAGTTACAAGGACACCACTTGGCTTCTTCCAGGGTGGCAATCTGTGCCTCCCAGGATATCTTGTTTACCTTTGCCTTTTATTTGGAGAGGAAGCCCTGTTACAGCAGAACACATAGGACCACTAAACCAAAAATAAGGCATATAAATATTCTCATTCTCATAATCATGATAATACAGTTCGCACATTTCTTTAATCTCTGAGAAATAAAGTCACAACTTTTGAAACCCTGACCCAACTGTAAAAGTTGTAACCCATGCAGGCTTCACAACAAAAATCTTCTCAACCATGGCTGCATTTTATAAACGAAGGGAAGCTTTAGGAGTGTAAATAGTAATAAAGCCCTGCTCCAGAATAATTAAATCAGAGTAATTCACGAGAAGGGATATTCTTTAAAACTTCAGAGGCCAGCCTCCTAAGGTGCTGGTATAGAAGGAAGGAGGGATGAGAAGGGAAGTGAAAGGGAGAAGAGAATAGGAAAGGAAAAGAAAAGAAAAAGAGAATGCCCACTGAAAAAAGAACGTACAAACAATATTGGAAAGAAAAGCTTGGTTCTGAAAAGTTCCTGCCATCCCAAAGATTTTTTTGTTTTGTTTTTTAAAATATTAATCAATCCTCAAGACATTTAACTCAAAGTTGAGAATTAGGTCTTAAGGAAAATCCTGAAACAAGCCTACTGTTATATTGTAAGCGATCTCAAAGTAGAAAATTAGATACTGTATTTAGAAATTATGACATCTGGAACTCAATCTTTCTCCTCTGCCATTACAAACCATCCCAACCAGAATTAATTAAAATGATTTTTATCCCATGAGGTCAAAAAGGGTTGCCAAGAAATGAACACTTGGTGCTAAAAATCACTGGTGGGAAAAAAATTAAATTTTTTTATGAACATAAGAATTCTAGTTTAACAACTTCAGTATCATTGTGGCATGCCATTCTGGATCAAGAATATCAGTGGTATTTTCTAGAATTAATTTCTTCCAATAGCTTCAACCTCCTTGTATAATGGGGAAACAACCTTCCTGATTAAAAGTGCCATCACATAAGCTAACATACCTATAAATTATTTTAATACCTCCATGACTTTTACATACTTTCACTTGATATTTACATGACATAATCAACTCAATACTCTGAAAGAGCTATTTAGAAGCAAAGCTCAGAACACTTTAAATTCTGAAAACTTCTATTTCAGACTTAATGCATCATGACTGTATTCGTAATATTTTGAGTGTGCAAATTATGAAATTTATAAAATAAGTAAATTCAAGAGGATTCAAACCTACCACAAGAGTGTCCAAAGAATCAATCAGTGTCAGGGAAAATCTAAGAAACAAGTATAATGAGATACAAACCATTAGAAGTCTGAATATTTTATCCATGAATGTATAAGCAGATATATCCATGCCTTATCGACTGGCAGTTTCTATTAGCTAGTACTTCCAGGCATCTATAGTACGATGTTACCTATAAAGCACCGAAGGCACCCAAAAAGGCTTAAACATTACATTTAATATTCAGTGTATCTACGTATCTTTCAAAATGAATAGAAATGTTCATTAACTCTCTTTTAAAGCAAATAAAAATATTAAACCATCAAAATATTAAACCATCAAGGTGCCTGGGTGGCTCAGTCAGTTAAGCATCTGCCTTCAGCTCAGGTCATGATCCTGGGATCCTGCGATTAAGTCCTACGTTGGGCTCCCTGTTCAGCAGGGAGTCTGCTTCTCCCTCTCCCTCTGCCCACCCTCCCACCACTTATACTCTCTCTCTCTCTCTCTCTCAAATAATTAAAAAATAAAACATATTAAACTATGAACACTTTATAATGTGTCGATGACTTTATATACATTTCGAAAGTTATATTCATCTTAGCAACTTTTCACTGATCTAAGAGGTAAACTGATTTTTTATAAAAAATAACAGAAGGAAATAAAAGAGTTTCAAGTCTCACTTAAAGCAGTCCTTGAAATTTAATCAACCCCCAGAAATACAACTGTAAGCTGCATCTCGGATGTCTATGACTTCAGAACCCTGAGCTGCCACACCATCCACCGTGTTAATAATACTCACTTCCCCAAGGCATCATCAACATCACCCCGACTTGGCTCCTGGCCTCTAACGCGACCTCTACAGGTTAAAGGCATGAGTTCATCAGCTGGGTAAGCATGTTCCTGCAAGGGAAATTACAGTGAGTCACTGAGGAAAATAAGAGAAAGCAAACATCATCTAGAGGACACAACCTTCTTGCAGTTATTTTTAAAAAAGGAAGATGCAAGTTAGTCAGAAGTTCTACTACTCTTAAGTCTATGGGAACCTTTTCAAAAATTTAGTTATAAAGTAATACGTGCCTAAGAAAAAAATGCTAAAAAATATTTCTTTAAAAATCTGATAATCTGCTTCCATTCCACCAAATCTCACTCTTCAAAGGTAACTACTGTTAAGACTGGCATTTATGCTTCCAAATTTATCCACATACATTAAAATACAGGCACATACATAATTTACATTTTATTTACAAATAGGTGCTCATGCCATATGCACACACTGCTCTAAAATTCGTTTACTTAAATCACCATGGGGTTTTTCCACGCTAGAATTTTATAAATGTGTTTTTTAACCACAAAGTGGTCATTTAATATTAGCTAATATTACCGAGTACTTAGTTCATTTCATTATCACACCTCTGAAACAGATTCAATTATCCCTATTTTACAGAGGAGAAAACTGAGGCCCACAGAAGGTAAGTAAGCCCAGACATGCAACTAGTAAAGGACGAATCCAGAATTTAAGCCTGGCGACCTGACTCTAGAGCATATTATCCTTCACAGTGCCCGCCCTTCACAGTATTGCACAGTATGGATACACTACAATTCACTTATTCCTCTCTTGAGGAATATGTAGATTGAACTCAGTTTTTCACTATACAGACATCTATTTGCCTACATCTTTTGCACATACGCTTGTATTTCTACAGATTAAATCCCTAGAAATACACCCAGGGGGTCACAGGTATGGATATTTAATTTCTGATAGCTATCAAACTGAAGACACTAACTTACATCCCAGCAATACTCGAACACAGGAGATGACCAATGATTTATATTTTGCCGATCTCTTGCATAAAAAATGGTAACTCAAGTTTTATTAATGAGGATAAACATTTTTTTTGTATTCATCATTGCTATTTTTTTTGAAATGTCTGTTTATATATTTTGTCCATTCTCTATTGGTTGTCTTATTGGCCAAGACATTCTCTATACATTGTGTTTGTTATATACAGTAAAAATATTTTTCCTGTCTTTTATCTTTTAACTTTGTTTTGGTGCTTTTTACTTTAAATATGTAGTTAAGTCTGTAAGTTTCTTCCTTTATGGTTTCTAGATTTCAGGCACGGTTAAGAAGGCTACCTTGAGCCTCTGAAAAGAGCACCCTTATTTTGTCTAGAGATTTACTGCATCTGGAATCTAATTTCCTTTATGATGTAAAATAGGGATATAGCTGTGTTTGCCCCCCCAAAACAGCCAATTTTCTAAATTCCACTTTTTAAACAACCCATCCACTCCCTAATTGCTTGAAATGCAGCTTTATTAGTTCAAAATTGTCTACACATTCCTGTAGCCTCATTTTTGTTCTGCAGATCGATCTGCTTGACAGACTTATTTCCTATTCCTACTGCCCTACAGATCTAGTTCCTGCTCCAAACCATTATCTTAATTATTCTACCTTTGCACTATACCTTCCTACTTAGGACAGCAACTCACTACCCCCAATTATTTTTCTTCAAAAATTTTTAAACTACTTTTTCAAATTTAGCTCTCTGGATAACTTTAGATATTCTTTAGAACTCCACTGCAATTTTAATTGGAAGAGCCTACTTTGGGGAGAATTGACATCATTACCAACTGGTTCTTCCCATCTAGGAATGTACTATATCACTACATTAATTCAGATCTTCTTTTATGAATTTGGTTTTCTTCTCTAGGTCTCACAAATTTCTTAATATTTATTAATAGGAATTTTATCATTTGGGATACTATTTTGAGCAGAATTTTCTGTTAAAGATTTATTTATTTATTTGAGAGAGACAGAGAGTGTGTGTGCATGCACACGTCGGGGTAGGGGTAGAGGGAGAAGGAGAGGGGAAGCAGACTTCCTGTTGAGCACAGAGCCCTCTGCCAGGCTTAATGCGGCTCAATCTCAGGACCCGGAGATCATGACCTGAGTGAAACCAAGAGTCGGACTCTTAACTGACTGGGTCACCAGGGTCCCCTGGAATTCTTTTTTTTTTTTTTTAAAGAATGACCATGACAGAGTACTTCTAATCCAGATAATAATGAAACAAATGCAAAAATCTTCCCTCCTATTCATTACAAATACACAGAATTGCTGTATCAGTATTAAATTATTTTTAAAACATAGCTGAGCTTAAGAACAAGAAAAAATTCTTAAGTACCAAAAGTGAATAATGGAGTACAGAAGATGAAACTGCAGTGACAGTGGTATGGGCGTTAGAAATAAAGATAGACTTCAGGAGAATTATGTTAATGCCCAAAGGGTAGAAGAGTTGATACTACTGGTCTCGCATACATGGCCATAAGCCAGAGAAGTAGGTTCTTTAAGTTGGATAGTTGCTTCAGTAAAACTCGACTGGATCCCCACCTACTGGCGGAAAAGGACAGAAACAAGAAAGTCCTGCTGAACTTTGTATTTTTTTCACTAGGGGACAGTCCCTAAAAGATTCCTCTAAAATTAATTACATGATTATGATTAGAGATTAGAATCACTGTGCTTATATATTTCAACTTCAGACAATATTCACTGATTCCCTGTCAATAATGGTAAGTTTAGGGGCGCTTGGGTGGCTCAGCCCTTAAACGTCTGCCTTCGGCTCGGGTCATGATCCCAGGGTCCTGGAATTGAGACCCGCATCAGGGTCTCTGCTCTGCGGGAAGCCTGCTTCTCCCTCTGTGTCTCTCTCTGTCAAATAAATAAATAAAATCTTTTAAAAAATAATAATAAGAAGAAGATTAATACACTCACAACGTTTCCCATTCAACTTAAGATTTTTGCCACTAATGCTACTACAGACATTCTTCAACCTGCCTGGCCTCGCTACATACGAGTTTCTACAATCTAGTTAGATAAACCCTCAACAACACGACTTAAATTCAGTTACCACTGTGTATTAACTGCAAGTGAGTGCATAAAATACAAACTTCGGTGCCAGTTCCTCAACCCACAGGTCACTACATAAATAACCGACACTCATCATGGTCAGTGATCACTCGCATCACTTCTTTCAAAGTCAGTGTCTTGATTACCGTGTGTCTAGTTTTTAGCTCATACGTAGCAAGCATGTGGTTATCCCCTTGTCAGCCAGTGATAATCAGACATGACAATGTGACAGTTTATGAGGATGGATAATCAAAAAAGGAAATTCGCCAACAAGGATGAAAGTTCAGCGAAGAAAAGAAAAATGAGGACACTGAAAGTGCAATCTGAACTGAACATAAACACTGCATAGAGCAGCTGGCCAGGGACAGGTGGCCACAAGGACACTCCAGAGACTAGCAGATGTGCATCTACAGGAACTGAGGGAGGGCCCAATTATCCACATAGATGAAGAAAGTGGTTGCAACAGAGAGTGACCAGGTCACAAAGGAAAGGATACCTGCAAAACACTTCCCATTAAAGGAATTCCCAGAGGTATTTCAGGAGAGGGAAAAGGGTAACATTTTTTCAGCTGATCCAAATTTTGAAAGCAGGAGGACAATTCACAGATGCATAGAAAAGATGTGTGCTGTTATCTCAGGTTACACAACTGAAATGAAGGCAAAGGAGACAAGACTATCCAATCTTAATGAATTTTTGGAAAGAAATAACACTTTAATTTTCAAAGTCCCTAATATTTTGAATATTAGTTTTGCTATTTTAAAATCTCTGTACATTTATAACCATCAGAAAGAGAATTTTCAATATTTTGACAAAGATTTTAAAAGGTTTGTAACATTTGTATTCTGGTCTGGAACCCTAATTCCCACAGTTGCTAGTATCAGAATTTTACTTAAGTAGAGTCAACTCACACCATTTTTCTAATGGCTTCTCCATTCCTGACTTTTTATTTTGATTCAGCTGTTGGTTGCCTGGACTTGTCCTCAGGTATGTTTTTGTTTCTCGGTTTTTTAGAGTGTCATCAGTATTGTTATTTCTCTGGTAGCCCTGGGTTAGGATGTCTCTTGTCTTACACTTGAAAAATAAAATGAATGTTATAAAATGCTTGAGACATATTTTCTTTCCTTCCGAAATCTGAGGATACTGTTGCACAACCTTACATCCACTGAGAATCACTATGGCAAAGTTTCTAAGACTAGTCTGATCCCTCGTACCTTGAACGACTTGTACCACCTATGCCTGTACGTTCCTATGATTCTTAATTCTTGAAGTTCAGCAGAAATACTCCCAATCCATACCCAGCTCTATCCTACTGCCTCTCACTAAACTCAATGATCTATATGCCAAATCCATAGCACATTAGCAGCAGAGAAACAGAATAGAGGACAGGAACACTAAACACATGGTCAAACAGAAAAGGAAAGACAAAAAATAATAATAAAGTAGGCTAAAGAATACAAAAAGCACTGAAGCCTGCAACCCTTCAGATATTTAAAAAAGTTCAGCGCTCCATAATGATTCATTTCCTGAGGAAAGGATCCCAGACAACTGTTTGTACTATAATTAGAATCCACATGCAGCTACCAACTTCTGAATTGAACATACTGTGATTTTAATATTATATACAATTTTTAGCATAAATTCCTAATAATTTTGTCTTTTAACATTTTTAAGTTCCTAACTTCTTTTTCTGTGTTAATTCCAAAAGAACTGTGATTTCCCAGAATGCATACGATTTTTTATTGCTTAAGTTTCGTATTTAACACATCTAAACAACACTCTGAAGTAATTCAAAAGTGATATATTTTCAGCTTGCTGATGAATTTTGAAACTTCGTAAGGTATCATTCAAATGTTAATTTGACTGCAAGGAGTTCTTTACTATTTAAACCACCACCGCTTAGAATACTTTATACTATTCCTAGGGTTTTGCAAAAACACTTCTGTCTGAAATTAAATATGAAACTCAAACCCTAGGCTTATGTAGATAAGAAAAATAT